TATATATACACACTCATTTTGTTTACACACACAACGGTCTATATATTATTAAACTTCTGTTTGTATTGTGTACGTGCTAATTAATTAGTTTTATTAGGTTCTGATCACAGCTTGCTCGTTAATCATTCACTATAATTAATTAATCACATCACGCTATCTTAATGCAAATAGCACACAAACCGAAAAGTAGATATCGTAAATTACTTGACTTAAACTAATTAGCAACTTAAGTGAAGAAATACATTATTGTGTGATCTATGTGACCTATAGACAAATAATGCTAGAAGGGAAAATATATTGCAAAGTTGGTTAAAACGATAATACTGGTTTTCAGCGGCTTTGATACATCAATTTCATTGGGACAGCACAAAATTTTTCTATTGGATCCACAAAGAATGGGTCCACATTTTAAAAATGTGTCCAAATCATGCAGTTTTATGAATATATGAGTCCACTTTTTAAAAAATTGGTCCGTATTTCTCATATTTAGCTTAAATTGGTAAAATTATAAAAAAAATGGGTCCAGATTTTTTTTTTAATTTTTGCGTAAAATGGGTCCACATTATTTAAATTTAAAGTAGGTCCACCCTGATATTGTCCCGTACTGTTTGAAAATCCTACTTTGATTGTTACTGATGTAACATTTTCAATGTTGTTAGACTTGCAGAATCAACCTAATTATTGATTTAATGTTTGCACACATATTACAATGTTTACATCTAGGTTAGTGAATTTGGGTTTGATTTGGATAACATTGTATGTAAAGCGTTTTTGTTTTTTAAGTGATTGAAAAAGATGTTGAACACCTAGCGAAAATCCTCCCTCTGAAATTCACAACCTTCATACGAAAACCATTATCAGAAAACATAGTATGCATTGTAGGCTGACAATCTTTGTTGCACAGCCTCGTCGGAGTCATCTGGATGACGTTGACATCTTTCTTTGGAGAGAGAGAGAGAGAGTACCCGTTACAGGGTCAGTCATTCGCAATGTTAATCTCTCGTAGGACTAAATGAAGTCATTCGGTACATCTAGTATAGGCAGAATACTTTGTAAGAAACAGTTAAATTTCAGTTATTAATCTGAGAACAAGTCAGTTTTGACAAGTTATTAAAGAAAACGATGAAGGCATGATAATGGCGACAATAATGATGTTGATGATGATGTTACTGATAATGAAGATAATGTTTGTAATAATGATGACAATGACTGACAATGATGTTGATGATGATGAAAAGCGGATCAAGTCCCAAGTCTTGAGTATGTGATTTTACAAAAATTACTTTTGTACAACTTTAATATGGTAAAATAAAATTGAATTAATTTTCCTTCTCCCTTAAAACCATTTGAATTTACTGTCACATTACCTTACCTGTTTGGGTCATAACCTGCAGTACTGAGATTTTCTGCCTGTTCTCAGCTGGTATGTGGAAAGCCTCGCAACAGCCAGCCACTTGAAACAATCTATCTGGCTCAAACGATCCTCAATGAGTTTCAGAAAAAGATTGTCTGGTACTCTTGAAAACAACAAAAATAATATATTACAATTGTACTAGAGCATATTGTCAGTTTTGGCCTACATAGAAATGAATCATAACAGTTTTGTATATAATATTGTTATTATTACACAGATGGAAGCATAGAACCCATAACATTTTCAAACTGTTAAAATTCAAAGTAAGTTTACACAAAATATATATGCATAATATGATAAAATACAATAGCTTATTTCGAAGTTATTAATTTAATTTGTATTATTTAACTAGATATTAATGCTTGCGGTACACCACGTAGATAGTTCTGAACAGAACTGTTGTTGGTGGGGAATCTGTCTCTTATACACATCTTACACGGTATATATTGCACACAAATCATATATATGTATATATACATATATATATAATATTACTCATTCGCTTTTTTTATGTACTAATTAATTAGTTATTAAACTCTGCTCACAGATTGATCAATTTTTAATTGTAATTAATTAACCACATCACGCTGTCATAATGCAAACCGAAAAAAGTACACCTCGTTAATCACCTGACTCAAAATAATTAGCAACGTAAGTGAAGAATTAAATTATTGCCCGATTTTTGTGAGCTATAGACAAATAATAGTAGGCGGGAAAATATATTACAAAGTCAAAACGAAAGTACTGGTTTTTGGCGGCTTTGATATATCAAAATCAATTTGAAACGGGTTATTCTTTTATGTGTGCAATAGGAATACAAAGGTCTCGGGAGTGCTGGATCTTTCGATAGCCGACAGTCCGAGAACAAACACATTCTAGCAATTGCGCTTAAAATTTAATATTGAAATATATGCTTTATTTGTTTTTCTCTGGAGTCAGTGGCTGAAAATTTATGAATATAAGTCTGAAAAGCCTACTTTGTTACAGATGTCGTCATACCATTTTTTGTTGTTTTGAGACTTGTATTTTAATACACATTAATTTAAAATTTGCATGCATATTAAATTTTCACATCTATGCTAGTAAATTAGGGTTTGATTTTGACAAACCAATATGCAAAAATGTTTTGGTTTTTAAATGACATGTTGAACATGGCCCGCGAAAATCAACCGTCTGAAATCCACCGCCTTCATGCAAATTATCATCGAAAAACCATATCGAAAATTATACGAAACTAGTAATTTCAGTAAATTGTTACTGGAGTACAAGAAAGAGTGATAACTCACCCAAAAAAGATTACATCACGACCAAGAATATTTACTATTGTAAACAAGTGATAGTTTGTGAATTTCCAAATTACAGACACTGTACCAAGGATTCATACATGGTGCGTTTGACCATGCTAGATGGTCCAACGCATCTATGGTGGTTGCATGGGTAGAATCAAACCGTTTTGGAAGTCCTTATTCAGGAAACGCACGAAGAGGAGGATGGTCAGCATTGATTTGAAGATGAGATAGTTTTTGATGATTTCCAAGTAAAGGTAGACCCTGTAAGCACCTGCTTCAAAGGTTTTTAAATTTAGATTTAAGTAAATTTAGATTTAAAAGTTTCCGTTAATTCAATTAGTTTATTTGTTAATTATAGTCTTCATTTTGTATTATTTACATTTTAAACGTTTTTTGGGATATTATAGAGATTTCGTTTGTTAATTCCAATTATTTAAAAAGTTATTAATTTAATTTGTATTATTTAACTAGATATTAATGCTTGCGGTACACCACGTAGATAGTTCTGAACAGAACTGTTGTTGGTGGGGAATATTTCAATGTTTTGATTGAGTTGCTTCAATCGTCTTCAGGAGGATAATATCTGCAAAAATTCCAAAACAGTGAAATACATATATGTTTTAGGTAGGAAGACTTACTGCTGATTGGTTGAAACTTAACAATAACTGAGACTACGTGTGAAAAGCCAAATTCACAGTCTGTGCGAATAGCCTGGTTGTAAAACTGCTGAAATGAACTTTAGCGGGAAAAAAGTAAAGGAAAATCAGCATACCCTATAGTTTCTCAGAAAAAATATCCCCATACCTAGGGCTTGGGCAATTTTTTTTACAGCACTTTGAAATTTTGGCCTAAAATACCATATTTAAACTATTTAAGATGGGGGTAGGGGAATGAAATTTATGTTTTTGGTCACTTTTACATATACTGTGGATATGAAATGCAACAACTTGGCTAAATAGTTACTCATCACTCTCATTAAAAAATTTGATCGGAATGATGACGTCATCAGGACAAATTCCAAGATAGCGTCCATTATGTTGGGAAAAACTCTGTGTTATCAAAGTACAATACAATCGCAATACAATTTTTGGTTTTTCTGAATCAACATACCCTATAGTGTCACAGAAAAAAAATCCCCATGCCTAGGGCTTGG